TGGAAACCCTCAGTCCAAGCTTTTCATGAATTTAGGAACTAGTGGAGAAGTCCAAATTAATTCTCAAAGATTGGCACGGCCTTACCAAGGGCTAGCAGGTGCCTGAGCCTGGCACACTTGGTCAGCAGCAGTGATGCTCAGCTGGGGGCATCAGGGTGGATGGCAGTAGAATGCAAAGCAGCCAAAAGAGCAGACACAAGTGTAGCAGGGCAGGAGAAGCAGAAGGTCCTCACCTAATGACAGCAAGCAGAACTGTCATTGCTAAGTAGTGTGACCAGGAGGATTGGACTAGATCAGGGGTCTTCAAACTTGACAGCTTTAAGACTTGTGGACTTCAACTCCCAGAATTCCTCCTCCAGTCACGTTAGCTCAGGAATTCTGGGAGTTGAAGTCCACAAGTCTTCAACTTGCCAAGTTTGAAGATCCTTGGACTAGAAGACCTCCAACTCTGTTCCTCTGTGGTTACTGTGAGCAGGGAGACCTAGATTCATAACTTGTTTACAAGCATAGAGGTCATCAAATCACTATACAGGAAGGGGGACCCATCAATTTACCAAAGTCTAACGGAAACAGCTGGTGTACCTCCATGCTGGCTGGGGAATTCTGGGGGCTGAAGTCCACACAAAGTAACCAAAGTTGAGAACCATTGCTTCAGAGGGAAGGGGCCACCACAGAGAAAGGCTGTTTTCAGGCTCTTGCCCATTTCATTTCTCAATAGAGCAGGTTCCTGAGCATAGCTTGTCTACGCAATTTCACAATTTTGAGAAGATCCCTAAAATAATCCCAAGCTGTGTGTGTAGTGAGGATATTTTGAATTGTATTCAAAAGTTTCTTGGCAACCAATGTGATAACATTATTATTAATGTTACACCCAGTGTTTGCCTGGCTGCTATGTGCTCTGCCAACTGTAGTCCATGAATTGCCTTCAAAGGTAGCTTCACGTGGAGAGTGTGGCAATGTTCACCTGAATTGCAATTGCCAAGGTTTCTTTATCCAGGGATGGCCGTATCTGATCCCTGTCAACCTCCTTGGCTGCATTAATAGGGGGATAGAATCAAGATCACATGAAATTCTAGTACCACTCTGTAACGCCTTAGTAAGACCACACCTAGAATACTACATTCAGTTCTGGTCACCACAATATAAAAAAAGATGTTGAGACTCTAGAAAAAGTGCAGAGAAGAGCAACTAGGATGATTAGGGGACTGGAAACTAAAACATGAAGAACGGCTACAGGAACTGGGCATGGCTAGTCTAGTGAAGAGAAGGACCAGGGGAGACATGATAGCAGTGTTCCAATATCTGAGGGGCTGCCACAGAGAGGAAGGGGTCAAGCTGTTTTCCAAGGCACTTGAAAGCCAGACAAGGAATAATGGATGGAAACTGATCAAGGAGAGATTCAAGCTAGAAGCAAGGAGAAGTTTTCTGACGTTGAGAACAATCAACAAGCAACCAGCTTGCCTTCGGAAATTGTGGGAGCTTCATCACTGGAGGCTTTCAAGAAGAGATTGGACTGCCATTTGTCAGAAATGGTGTAGGGTCTCCCGCTTGGGTGGGAGGGGGATTGGACTAGATGACCTACAAGGTCCACATACAAAGAGCAGTTATAGGAATTGGGTATGTCTAGACTAATGAAAAGAAGGACGAGGGGAGACATGATACCAATGTTCCAATATTTGAGATGAGAGGATCAACCTCTTTTCCACAGTACCAAAACCAAGATGAGAAACAATGGATGGAAACTAACCAAGGAGAGAAGCAATGTAGAACTAAGGAGAAATTTCCTAACGGTGACAGCAATCAACCAATGGAACAACTTGTCTTCAGAAGTTGTGGGTGCTCCATCATTGGGGGCTTTCAAAGAGAGACTGGACAACCATTTATCTAAAATGGCATAGGGTCTCCTATTTGAGCAGGGGGCTGGACTAGAAGACCTCCAAGGTCCCTTCCAACTCTATCGTTCTATGTTCTTCTTCCAAGCATTTTGAAAAAAATTTCTTTTACATGCCAACACTATTCTGGTGTTGTGGTTATCACATGTTTGAGCATATCTTTCTTGTGCTATTTATTAACATTTTTACTGCTTTTAATTTTTATTTTTCACCTTTGTTACTATCATACTAATTTTGCAATCTGCTAAGGCTGTTAGACGAGATTAGAAATATAATCATTATGCACTCTAATTGATAACACATGTCCTGCCACTGTGTCACCTCCAATAGATCTTTGCCATATATATATATATATATATATATATATATATATATATATATATATATATACACACACACACACACACACACACACACACACACACACACACACACACACACATTTTCTTCTAATAATAGACAATTCCCACTTCACTCTTTCTCAAAGTTATTTTTTTCTTTTCCAGCAGATCTTTATGGAGGAATGGTGTTACCTACTCCACTTTGGAATTAATTTACATTGTTGTCTGCCACATTGCTCTTCAAAATCTTTAAAGACCTTTCAGGATGTTCTAAGTCCGTGGTGGCGAATCTGTGTCACGTGTGCCAAAGGTGGCATGCAGAACCGTCTCTCTGGGCACACGAGTGATCTCCCCAACTCGGCTCTGCCATGCATGTGCGCGCTAGCCAGCTAGTCTTTGGGTCTCTGCCGCGCATGTGTAGGGGTAGGGGTGCGTGCGGGGATCGTGCAGACATGCGCAGGGGTGAGGCACACGTTTGGGGGTCACATGTGTGGGGTGCGTGGGGTTGCACGCACCTGCGCGGGGTGCAGGGGGACATAACGCGCATGTGTGGGAGGGCATGGGGGTTTGCGCACGCACATTGCATTCGGGGGGGTGCATGTGCAGGAGCGCACTTTGGGCATTTGGTGCTGAAAAGGTTAGCCATCACTGTTCTAGGTTATAGAGATGTCACTTGATTGCAATTCCAGGAAGCCTGGCCAATGATGAAGGATTTCAGGGGAGAGGGCTGTAATTCAGCAAGACTACCTTTGCCTTGCCCTGTGCTGATGGAGAAAGCTAGTTATTACCTACAGGGGTGGGATTCTACCAGTTTGCACCTATTCGCTAGAACCGGTTGTTAACATTCTAAGCAGTTCAGAGAACCGGTTGTTAGAAGAAATTACTGGCCTAATCCTGTAAGGAAGGCAGGAAGGAAACATTCTGGTGTTGCTTATAGAAACTGCCTCTCCGTTAACCCTTATTACATTCTTGGCAGAACTAGACTTCCTGTCTCAGGAACGTCTCTGGAGTTTTTTCCCCCTCCTTTGCTGGTACTTTGCTTGTGTGGAGTGACCATTCAAAGTTACAATGGCACTGAAAAAAGTGACTTATAACCATTTTTCATACTTACGACTGTTGCAGCATCCCCACAGTCATGAGAGGCCAGGGGAGGAGATGTGTGCCTCGATGTGAGTGATATTGAGTTGGCCACACCCAGCTAATAACATGACCACCAAGCCATGCCCACCACCTAAGCCACACCCACAGAACCGGTTGTTAAAAATTTGAATCCCACCCCTGCTAACCTGCTACTGAAGCTAGTACTTTAACATGGAGGAGTATCATTTGATGGTGTAAGTGTGACAAGCCACCAGACCTTCTGGACCCAAACTGCTGCTGAGTTTTACAAAAAAATAAAAATGGGTTGATATTATTCTAGCAGTTCCATTCCCCAAAGGAGTGCCTCAGAAAGCAACAGTTTGCTTGGTGCCCATAAGGGGGCACCCTTCTCCACCAATTCCAGATACCTCTAGAAGTTCCTCCTTTCAGTAAATCCTTAGAAAGAATCATCTTCCTCCATTGGCCTTCCTTTTACAGTACTATATGTGTAATATGCAACCCGAATTCCTGTTGTGTTCAGTAACAAACTTCAAATAGATCAAGAACAAGTGTCCCCAAAGGAGCAAGGGAGGAGTTTAACTCTCTTGAGAATTGCTGTTCCGAAGATCAAGCAAGCATGCAGTGCGGGATGTGAAGATCAAATCCATATTGGATGGTTCCGAGGGAGTCAGGACCAAGCCAGACTCAACAATATGATCTGAAGCAAACTGGCAGCCATACAAGTCGCAAAGGATTCTGGGTCTATTCTAAGACACTCAGTTGCTGATAATAACAATTTAATAATGTTTTAATTCCCAAGGTTTGGAAGGCTGTTTTGAACATTCCAAATGTTCCAAAAGTGACCGACCTCAAATCAAGGCATGATAAGTATGCCATAAATGATAAGAGCAGCCCATTTTGGGATTGGAATATTTCACGACAGAACATTTTGCACAGGCTTACTTGTGGGATACACGGACTAAGTCTTTGGGGACCTCATTTTTGTTCTGTTTGATAGGTCATGTATTGCTCAAATAAAGCCTCTATGTTCTTGTTAGTTCAGTTCAGTGCTTTTCCCCACCAGCCTCTGCGGCTTTAAAAAGTGGGGACTGCAAATCCCATATTCCCCAGCCTGCATGCTGTGCTCCATGCCTCTTAATGTTGCTGAGATTGAGAGAGACTGGTCTAAATCACGATGAGTGGAACCTCCTTGTTCTGAGCAAGATTACCTTAGTTTCTGGGGTCAAACCTTGGAAATGAACTGTACTTGTGGGTTTTCTGGAGGGTTTGTGATATTAGCCAAGATGGTGGAAAATAAGATGCTGGGGTAGACAAAAGTCTTGAGAGGATGCAACCAGGGTTCCCAGCTGGAACAAAAAAAAAAGCTCAAAACATTGATACAGAAACATACCTTTTAGATAAAACTCTGCAACCAGGCCCTTTTAGTGCCTGAACAAATCCAATTTATATGATGTACATTTTACTCACAAGAAAGCAGATGGATATTCTGCCGCTATGGCAAAACGCCAAAACCACAAAATATTTGAAGAATATTTAACCAATGCTATTAAAAAGATTATTATGTAAAGGGATCAGGGAACTTAAAAGTGCGAAGCCAACTATATCACAATTTCCCTCAGTAAAGAAATCAGAAGGAGGGCTGAGAAAATAACTACAGACCACTCATATTAGCGTGTTCTTTTCACTGCTTTTTGAGCCAACATTCTATTGCCTGCTAGGAAGGTGAGGCTGCCAAGGAGAGCCAGGTACTTCAGCGTTTGAAACATGTTGAGCTGAGTCCAGTAAATGTACATGAGCCCCAACATTGCTGCATGACCCAGATGGAAGATAATGGTACTTGGAGCAAAGCTGAAGTTAGAAATATTGGCCCCAATCTTTATCCACAGTATAAAGAGCAAAAGCAGTGGGGAGAGTATCATCGCTGTGAATGTGTTTGATACAACAGTGGGAGGCCTCTTCTCAGGTTCTCTGAACAAATGCTGTATCTCAGGTTTAGGAGTGAAAAGGCTTTTTGACTGGACTGTAGATGGGGCATCTTCTTCTGGAAATTTGATGACAACATCAGCCACATTCCAGAGGATTGGGTTTTCCAGAGTGGCATCACCAATGATCAAATAAAGAGTGTATATTCCAGAGGCTGAATCGAATTCAGTTTTTCTCTCAGAAGTATCCAGTTCAAACTTGTAGATGTTTTTGCTGTCTGGTTCTGCAACAAACACCACCTCCTGCCCAGTTTTTTGATTGTGAAGCCGTACAAAAGTCTGGTGAGGGATTAATTCTGCTCCAGTGTTCACGTCAACCAATTGAAAGGACAAGGCGAAATTTTGATGGCTGTCAGCTGTGAATGATCCTTTGGCCTTGGCTGGGTAAGTGACCCTGGTAGTTTTGGGTGCAATGCTCTGATCTTTATCCACAGTAAAGAGATCCACATTTGTAATACCAACTTCCTAGGTATGTAATACCAACATATCCTAGGCATAAACTGTTTCAACAGCTGGGATGCCACTGCAGGGCATTATATGCCAAAACTAGACACAAAGACAGTTTTTCCCTTGTGCCATCACTGCTGAATACCTAATACAGTACTGTCTTATGTGTAAGTATATTTACCCATGTTGTATGATGTAGTAGTAGTATTACCTTTCTCATCTTCTCTACTAACCCCTTATTTATATCATTACTATGATATTTGTATCATTACTATGAATACCTGTTGCTTTGCATGTACACTGAGAACTTCTGCACCAGAAACAAATTCCTTGTCACACTTGGCCAATAAAGAATTCTATTCTATTCTATTCTATTCTATTCTATTCTATTCTATTCTATTCTATTCTATTCTATTCT